TTTTGGTCCTGGATTTAGCATCATGACACGTTTATTTATGTGACTATTCCTCAAGCGCTTTTATTGGGACATTTTTACTTATGTTAAGAATATATACTAAATGCTCCAGTAGACATTACAGATTTTTATCTTTTTTAAATCAGACAACTTTAGAGAACAAAATCTACAATGATCTTACAAGAGACCTGCACAGATAGACTGTGACATAAAGTCTTGGACACCCAGCACTTCACTCATCCACGTGCACAATGAACTTAGTTAGATCTTGGAATACAACCCGGTAAGCTTCAGATTTCACAGTAAAATGGGTGCGGTCATCATTAAAAATGAAGGAAAGTCTTTACTTTTTCAAATATGCTGAGCATATGCCCTTAAGAATATGTGTACAGCATGTTAATTCATCCTACATGCTGCTGGCAGGATAAGAGCATACATATGCATATATTCTCTTTATCTTAGCATATCTCTCAGTGTACAATACTGTACAGATATATGAATATACTGCATATTTTTGTATTCCTAAAATATTTTAAAATAAATCTTTCCTGGGAGAATGCAGCTGCTAGTATTGTTTCTTCCCATTGTCCCAAGCTTCAAATGCAGTTGCCTGGTTGTCAAGCTGACCTAGAACAATTATACAGAAAAAGGCTTTCAATTTTGCTCCAAATGTACTGGTTGAAATATTTTTTCCAGGTTAGTAAACCAAAAATGTTTCTCAGCAGAACTTCAAGCAGATACAAACAACACAGGTACATCCCGTTGCATATTTCAAAATCAGTCATTGCATATTAAAATCAGACATTGTATTTCAGTAACTGTATGTTACAGTAACTGTACATTTATATATATATATATATATATATATATATATATATATATATATTTGACATGATATTAGCCTTATGTAACTTATTGTACAGCAGAACTCAGTATGGGGCAATACAAGGAGATAATCAGGAGTGCTATATGCAAATATATAGTACTTCCAAGTACAGTGCACAGTACTTCCATGGAACTTTCTAAGAAAAATACAACAGATGAATGAGTTTATAAATCTGTAGCTGCTTCTTCACTATCTAATAGACAATCGGGGTAAGAAGATAACTAAGCTATACTAACTAACAGCAGTAAAGAAAAGTCACCAACCTGCCCACTGTCTGGCATAACTGTTTAAACTTCAGGACTGGATGAACAGAACTACAACTCCTTTGGCAGCTTAAATTTCTTTAAAATGTGTATTATAGCCTTAGATATAAAGTATATGTGAACTCTTAATTTGTAAAACAACCCATTCGCATTAAAACAGAAATGCAAGGTAAAATGTTTGCGTGTGTATATATACTCACCGGCCACTTTATTAGGTACACCTGTTCAATTGCTTGGTAACACAAATTGCTAATCAGCCAATCAAATGGCAGCAACTCAATCCATTTAGGCATCTAGGCGTGGCGACGATGACTTGCTGAAGTTCAAACCGAGCATCAGAATGGGGAAGAAAGGGGATTGAAGTGACTTTGAATGTGTCATGTTTGTTGGTGCCAGAAGGGCTGGTCTGAGTATTTAAAAACTGCTTATCTACTGGGATTTTCACACACAACCATCTCTGGGGTTTACAGAGAATGGTCCGAAAAAGAGAAAATATCCAGTGAGTGGCAGTTGTGTGCATGAAAATGCCTTGTTGATGTCAGAGGTCAGAGGAGAATGGGCAGACTGGTTTAAGATGATAGAACAGCAGCAGTAACTCAAATAACCACTCATTACAACCAAGGTATGTAGAATACTATCTCTGAACGCACAACTGGGAAGATACCAGGTGCCACTCCTGTCAGCTAAGAACGGGAAACGGAGGCTACAATTTGCACAGGCTCACCAATTGGACAATAGAAGATTGAAAAAAATATTGTCTGGTCTGATGAGCCTCGATTTCAGCTGTGACTTTCAGATAGTAGGGTCAGAATTGGGTATAAACAACATGAAAGCATGGATCCATCCTGCCTTGTATCAACTGTTCAGCTGGTGGTGGTGGTGATGTAATAGTGTAGAGGATATTTTCTTGGCACACTTTGGTCCCTTTAGTACCAGTTGAGCATTGTTTAAATGCCACGGCCTACCTGAATACTGTTGCTGACCATGCTCATCCTTTTATGACTACAGTGTACCCCTGATGGAAACTTCCAGCAGGATAATGTACCATTTTACAAAGCTCAAATCATCTCAAACTGGTTTCTTGAACATGACAATGGGTTCTCTGTACTCCAATGGCCTCCACAGTCACCAGATCTCAATCCAATAGAGCACCTTCGGGATGTGGTAGAATCGTATCATGGACGTGCAGCCAACAAATCTGCAGCAACTGCGTGATGCTATCATCTCAATATGGACCACAATCTCTGAGGAATGTTTCTAACACCTTGTTGAATCTATGCCACAAATAATTAAGGCAGTTCTGAAAGCAAAAGGGGGTCCAACCTGGTACTAGTAAGGTGTACCCAATAAAGTGGCCAGTGAGTGTATACATTTTTTTTTTTTTTTTTAGAAGTGATCATATGACTACTGTTCTCAGCTGCATAGAAGCCTAAAGAGCTGGAGGTGGAGATTGCGGGGGAGTGTCAGCAGGAGGCAGTGAAACAGCAGCACACTGATCTTCCCAGTGATTATTTGTGCAAGGGGGCATGTCAACAGATGTCTGACCATTGGATTATAGGCATACTATGCTCCCAAATAAAATGAAAAGTAGAAAAGTGATCACACTGGGATGGGTGTACTTCCATGCCCAGGTGTGGTCAGTTTGGATAGGAAATAGGAAAGCAGGGGACTGGCACGAACACCAGCTGTTTCACCAAAAAGAATGCAATACAAAAAGAAAAGGATATTTTATCATGCATGTACATGGTACAACATACAAATATCAGGAATATAAAAATGGAGCAATAATTTAACTGTTTGCCTGGAGTTTCTCTTTAAGCCAGTGGGTAAGTGATATAGCCAGACAACTAGCACATTTAGAAGGAAGCCAGCAATGGAACCCCTTATAATTATTTCTGGAAGTGTTTACTTTTATAAATTATAATAAATTTGAAAATTCCTAAATGTAAAATGTCTATATTGCAGGATGAGAGGTCTGATAGGAAAAAACCCTTATAAACTGAAAAGCATAGCAGCATGGTAGTTCTATATAAATGCAGGGACACATGCCAAGCAAAGCAACTCTGTAAGGTCACAATGATGACTTATAACTCATAGGGATATACAGAAAATAGAGGAATATTAAAGCATGTGGACTATACTGTATAGTAGTGATAGTTAAACGTTATAGCACACTGCCTTGGTGACAGGTACTTTGTAGTTACTGTAGGAAAAGACAACAGAAGTGTATAAATTCTCTCCGGTTCCCTGCCCGTTTCTCCTCTGCTCTGACTTTGCTCTGCAAATGTGTGCATACTGATGTTGCAGTTCTCTGTGTGTGCTCTGTGAGCAGAGAAGAACTAGACAATTTCCTAGTGATCCTATCACTGCCAGCCACTGGAGATTTCTCTTTCTATTCAGTCACTACAACCATGCTTTTTCTTAACACTGCAACATTTATAGCAAGATTTTCTGTTGCATCAGTCTTGAATTTTTTCCCAACATTTAAATACAGGAGCATTTTTTTTTCCTGACAGATGCGCCAATAAATGGCTGTATTTTAATCAGTCTCTAGGAGTCACTAGCAAATCCTTTTCAAGGCTGAGCCGTTTTTCTGTATTAATCCATAATGAAATGTGATTAAAGGAAACTTGTCAGGGGAGAGCCTTGGAGTCTGCCATTGCTCGCCTCTTTTCTGAAAGTGCTAGCTGCCTGGCTGTCACAACCTCTGGCTCGCTAAAGGTGAATAGACTGTGTACTTTGCAAGTGCAGTTGCACTCTGTAGGAGCATTTGCTCCAGAGCTTAGTCAAAGAGGTGAAACGTCACTTTGCAAAGTATATCCAATCACATGCAAGGAAAATAAAGAAAACAGCATTTTTGCTTGTACATAATTGGATGATGGAAGTCAGCAGAGCTTCACATCATTCCCTAGGCTCCAGAGTAAATTTCTTTGCAAAGTGCACAGTCTATTTGCCTTTAGTAAATTGACCTGTTTGAGTCACTCACAGGAGACAAGCATGCTGATAGTGGCTAAAGACGTTTCTGATCTGACTTATTCTAAATCAGTATTAATGCTAGACTACCAGGATAACAGCCAAGCAGAAGGAGGGGCTCACTCAATCTGGAAAATAATGGTTAGATATAAAAATGAATGTTTGTCTGTGGGTTGCTCTGAGTCTTGACTGCTACCAAGCTAAATGGTGGGGAATTGGTCAGAGGAATGGATTTCATGGCTGATTGCTATTGTTCCCTCAAGATACTATGGGGTTTATTTACTAAAGCTGGAGAGTCCAAAATCAGACTCCCTTCTGCATAGAAACCAATCAGCTTCTAACCTCAGCTTGTTCAATGAAGCTTTGGCAATGAAACCTGGAAGCTGATTGGTTTCTATGCAGAAGTGAGTCTGATTTTGGACTCTCCAGCTTTAGTAAATAAACCCCTGTGTGTCCAGCACAAGAGGTATCTGCATACTTAGCACAGAATGGCTGTACAGTGGTTAGATCTTCCAAACACAATCTAATTTCTAAGGTTTGACTAGGTTAGGATTGACACAGAGGATTGACAGCCAAAAAGGCCTTAAATGAGAAGAGCAAAGGTTAAAACAAAACAAAACCCACTGATTTAAAGCAGAATTAACCTTATATATATATATACACAATCATGACTAGAAAAATGTGTCACAGAAAAAACTTTCTTTTTCCTAAGAAATACATTTATACAGGAAAAAATGTGTCCTCTAAATTTTCAATATAAATATTATTTAGCATTAGATAATATGTCACCCCAAATATGTCATATTCCTGATACACTATATTGCCAAACGTATTAGGACACCCCCTCCAAATCATTGGATTCAGGTGTTCCAATCACCTCCATGGCCACAGGTGTATAAAATCAAGCACCTAGACATGCAGACTGCTTCTACAAACATTTGTGAAAGAATAGGTTGCTCTCAGGAGCTCAGTGAATTCAAGCGTGGTACTGTGATAGGTTGCCACCTGTGCAATAAGTCCATCCGCGAAATTTCCTTGCTACTAAATATTCCGCAGTCAACTGTTAGTGGTATTATAACAAAGCGGAAGCAACTGGGAACAACAGCAACTCAGCAATAAAGTGGTAGGCCACGTAAAATGACAGAGTGAAGTCAGCGCATGCTGAAGCGCAAGTCACCAACTGTCTGCAGAGTCAATAGCTAAAGACCTCCAAATTTCATGTGTCATTTAGAAAAACTGACCAGCTGGATAGTTATGGGGGCCACCGGACCTCCTTGATCCGGTGGCGTGACGTCTCAGGCATGTATGGCTCCTCCCTTCTGACCAGCTGGATAGTTATGGGGGGCACAGGACCTCCTTGATCTGGTGGCGTGATGTCTGAGGCATGTATGGTTTTTTCTAAATGGTTTATGAACGGTTTTGCTGCATGCTTTGTCTACATTTCATTGGCGATAGCCTCCATTTGCTTTTATGTATGTTCATCACTTTTAACCATTAATAAAATTATTTATATTATGACCTACTACACTATGGCCACTATTCTCTGCTCCACATCGAGCATTTAACCCCCCAGGACCATATGGTGACCACCCTGAGGCCCAGAGGAGAGTGACTCATATAAGCTGACCCCCATCGCAGCTTCCACCAGTAGAGAAGATCTCTCGAGGCGCCAGTATTGTGGGACAGCCTGTCCAGTGTGAACTGCACCTGCCACAGGATAAGAGGGAACCTCTGGCTATTAATATTGCGCTTACCTAATGCGCATTTCATATATTTCCTACACGGTTTTGACGAGTGCCTCACTGGGAGTAACAAAGTCACCATTTCATCCATTTGTTATTTACCGGACATTGTTCCTATGGACTTCATACTGTCTATTTGAGGGTGTGGCCAGTTTCTGATATAGCACATTTAATTTGTTTATTAGCGCTGCACTTTTTCATATTGTATATATTCAAGAGGTTATATGGTTTCCTTGTAGTGTATCAGCAGCTTATGTTCTCATCATCTTAGCGCTTGCTGAATCACCTTTAAATTAACAAACCTTGTTTGCAATCAATGGCCCACATTTGTGGGAATATTTTGTAATATTCTGAAACGAAAGTAAAGGTTTTCTGGCAAATCTGTTGGAGTGTACTCATTTAATCTGAGCACTGTATATATATATATATATATATATATTTTTTTTTTATGAGATTATACCATAATGTTGCCTTGGTCTCTCCCAGCTTATCCTGGTCTTCCTTTCGTGTTTTCTTGTTTGGTTGCTTGAATGGCCAGGGAGCAATGATGTCACTCCTGCACATGCACGTTGTTACCACTGACAAGCAGAGACCACTAGGGTCTCTTCTGTCATAAAAAACCCTGCTTGTCAGAGATTTTTAACTTTTGAGTTCCACTTTAACTGTTTCCCAAAACAGTTACGTTCAAGGCATGTCTTAACAGATAACTGAACTGTGAAGCCATGAAATGGCTGGTGTCATAGCTGATCAAAGCCATTGACTTGCCCTGACCTGGCATGGCATCTGATCAGCATGTTTTCATTACAACTCTGTGACTTACTCATAAAGTAAGGATATTGGTTACAGCTTTGGAGTATACTGGTTCAAAAGTAAGTCAGCAAAGGCAGCTCCTGTGTGTCTGTCTTGACAGATATTCTTAAATCATTGTGCATAGTATGTCCTTCACATCTTTCCTATTTATTATATTGTTATGGATACTAATTCTAGTATTAAGACTGAAAACCCTGTGCATCATGTAAATCCACATTCCTACACAGATCTTTGCATTTAACCAGAGGAACAATAAATCACCTACTGAAAAACATCCAATCCATCCAAATGCTAACAGTCTTTTCCCTCCTGAGGTTATCTACAATAGTTATACTCTTTCTATAGCTTTATTACTAAAGTAGCAGGTGGCTAAGTATTTAGAAGTCTTGCCTTGCAGCAGCGAGACCTGAGGTTTAAATTTCACTAAAGGCATTAGCTGCATGGAGTTTGTATTGTTTTCTTCAGAATGCTCCAATTTCCTTACACATTAATCGCTATGCTTCCCGATCCTGTTTATGACGTAGGGTGATTGCCTTCTGCTTGTAGTGTAAACCCTTGGGCTGTAACTTCCGCCAGGGAAGAACAAATTATGTACCCAGGTCATTGATAGAATATGTAATATAACTATAGGGGGTGCGAAATGAACTATGCAGACACATAATCATATATAGTCATTAACTTTACTGCATGAACATCTATTCTTAACTGATAGCATTCTTCATAGAAGAAAAACTATTCTTTACAATAGTCTTTGCAAAGGGTGTACAGCAGAAGATCCCCTTCCTGTCCAAAATAAGGCACAGTCCTTATAAAGAAAATAATACTTGGAAAGATTGTTCAGAGTTAGCATTGAGTTACCATCATTAGCAAAGACAGAGGTGTAGCTTGAAGCTTGTTTGCCCAGATGGAAAAGTTGACCTGGAGCCCCTCAACTTCCACCTGCCGATTCCACCACGGACCAAAATACTGCCACCATGGGCAGAATTTGAGGGGTCATAAGGGTTGCAATGATGACCCTACCCATGCTCCAGGTGGTCTGTGTGGCCTCCTTGTCATATTAGGTTTTGCACTGTATCGCTTGTGAAATGTTCTTGTCACATCCCCCTGCATAGGTAACTCAGTAAACTCAAAGGGCCCAGGCCGGATTGGCAGGAGCATGCCTAGTTCCATCCCGGGCCCCTGAGTTTCCAGTTTCACCTACACTTTCTTTCCCCCAGTGGCAAACTTTCTGATGAGTTCCCCCCCCCCCCCCCCCCCCCAGCCCAATACAGCTCCTCCCTCACCACCCTCATCTGCCCTCTCAACCATGCATGTGCATACAAGGTGGCTGCAGGCAAGCCACATTCTGAGCTGCCAGGTGAAAGCGGTGGGCTTCTAAGCGCTGCACAATTTCAGTTAGGTGCTGACCCAGATGGGAGGGAGAGGGTTAACTCTGTTTCTGAGCTTTTCTTATGGCGGGTTTTCTTGGGTCCAACCCACGTGCACTATAAGAAGTGAATAGTAGTCTGGAGTTGAGAGCCCTGGGGGTGCAGAAAGAGAGAGTGGAGTGGCGCTACATCTTACTTACATCCGTGAGGCCTGCCACCATGTAGAGAAGTTGCTGAAAACCAGTGTTAGCCCTGAAGACACAAGCTGTTGGAAACTGCCATGCAATGCACTCTGTCACAGAGGGACTCAACCTACACAGGTATGCCAGGGCAGCACACAATCCTGAGTTAGGGATTAGGGACGTAGGAAAAAGGTACTGTTCATGTGTCAGGAATCAGCAGCTGGGACAACCAGACATATGTAGCTACACCAAGGAATTGGGACCACACCATTATATACAGTATATATATATATATATATATATATATATATATATATATATGTGTCTTTAACCACTTACCTACCTAAGGATTTACCCCCTTCCTGACCAGGCCATTTTTTGTGTTTTGGTGCTGCATTATTTTAACTGACAATTGCACTGTCATGTAACGCTGCACTCAAATGAAATTTACGACCTTTTTTTTTCCCACGAATAGAGCTTTCTTTCAGTGGTATTTGATTGCCTATGCGTTTTTATTTTTTGTGCTATAAAAGAAAAAGTCCAACAATTTTGAGAAAAAAAACAATATTTTGGACTTTTTGCAATTGAATATGTCCAGTAAAAAAATTTAAAAAATCTAATTTTGTCATAAATTTACGCCAAAATGTATTCTGTGACATGTCTTTGCTAAAAAAAAATCTCAATACATTTAAATGAATTGGTTTACATGAAAGTTGTAGCCTTTACAAATGGCAATATAGATACTGGGATTTTGTTTCTACTAGTAATGGCGGCGATCAGCGACTTTTAGCGGGACTGCGTCAGACATTCTGACACTGGAAGAGAACTGACTTGGTGTCACTGACATTCCCAGTGACACCAATACAGTGATCAGTGATAAAAAAAAAGCACTGACACTGTACTAATGGCACTGGGAAGGAAGAGGTTAATATGAGGGGCTATCAAAGAGTTAACTATGTGTAGGGAGTGTTTTACTAGGGGGCTGGGGGTGTGTGCTTTACTGTAAGCACACTGCTCAGGATGGTTGTGCTGTGCATAGCCATCCAGAGCAGTGTGCCCAAGCCAACAGGGAGAAAGACTGTTTGTAAACAGCCGCAAATGAAAAATTCCTACAAATTTCTGTATATATACGTGATTTTGCGCACCCCTGCCGCCCTGTAGCAGTATATCTGCTATAGGGCAGCGGGGAAGCGGTTAAAGTGAGATTACAGTGAATGAAAATAACTACACACCGGCAAGCAGTAAACATGAAAATGCATGAAAATCAAAACTGAATAACAAAATGCAGCAACGTAACTACTAACTAAATGTACAAATATATACAAGTGAAATATGCAAGGCAGGGGAAAACTGGAAAACTGGAGGAGTGGATGGGAAGAAGGAAAACAAAACTGAGAAAGGAACAACAGGGAAGAAGGCAACAGGGTACTGGATACAGAGCAAGAGCAAGATCAAGAGTTAATGGCAACAGAGTCTGGCAGCAAAATGGCAAACAGGGTACAAGGCAGGAGCAGCCAAAACACTGATGCAAGGAGCCATAGCAGAAGTGGAACTTAAGAACCCTCCCAGCAGGTGTGGCCAGATGAAGCTGATTGCTGGGAGACACCTTCTGGTGACACCAAAACTGCAGCTTACACCCAGGGAAGCACAGTGTCACCAGCAGGTAAACTAGGTCAGGACATCGTGTCTTTGTACTTTGACACGTTTTCTAAGTAAAGTGTTGAAACTTTGCCTTTTGCCTGGTCTGAATTATTAAAGAAGTGTATAGCTAGTAACAGGCACTACAGATCTCCAGTCTCCCATTTGGGTCAATAGCACATTGGGGTATGGAGACAGCATATGGTTACTAAGGGTAATGAAGGTCAACAGTCAATCAAGCAGCCTCTTGTTAATTGTGTAACTGTGTCAGGTGGGTTAGCCTCTATCAGTGAGGGAGATGTTGTTGGCAATACTTCCACCAGTGGTCCATCTCCAATAGCAGTAGGAAAGATCAGCACTTCAGAGGTCCCTATCTTGTGTAGAGGTACAGCAGGTCAAGAGTTAAATCAAGTGCATGT